GTGTGTGTGTGTGTGTGTGTGTGTGTGTGTGTGTGTGCGTGTGTGTGTGTGTGTGTGTGTGTGTGTGCCAACATTGCATGTGGGTGTTCTTATTTGTTTCCGACTCGCTACACAGTAAGTTTTCTCGCTGCAACATTTTTATAGCAACAAAGTTGTTGTTATGGTGGAAGCATTGTTGCAGGAACAAATGTTCTGCCACAGCCTGTGCGTGTGTATGTATACGTGCATGTCATTTTCACTATACACAACACTGAAAAAGCACGACTGTGCCATGTTGTGTTTTCAGGATTCACTGACTCATCAAAAGGTTGAACCCTACTTTTCCGTCCAAGATGCATCCGACTGATGGATAAGGACTTGTCATGGCAATACCCCTAAGAAAAGTGGTCGACTTCATTCACACCAATCTTGCAATCATAGTAGACCGCGACAATACGTGTGAGGAAGAAAGTTTGTCACAGGCATATAACCCACTCTGGACACCTATCAGCCATGGATACCCACAAGCATGACTAGTAGTGTATGTGTGTGTTTGTCTTGTCATGTTCACTATATACAAACGCACAACGAAAGCATGGCTTGGCAAACTGTTTCATCGGCGTGTGTGCGTGTACATGCGTGCATGGGTGTGTGAGTGAGTGTTACTGCCAGCCAAACTAAGTTACAACCAAAAGATAGAACATTGCCAGAGCCGAAACACCGGGACAAAACTGCAGCCGGACTTTAAAGAAGGGTAGAAACACAAAAGAACAGCAAGACAAACACTAATCAATTTTCATTCTTCCAATACTACTCAGCTAGGATTAGCCATGCGTATCTCCCCCCTTTTTTATGAATGATTGATGGGATTAGCTGTGATCTCTCGGTTGTCTTCTATGAATGATTGTTGGGATTTGTGTGGAGAGAATTCATTGGGTTGTGTATTATGTCACTTCGCCCCTCTGAGTCTTCCGTTGCGTTCTTTCTGTTGGGCGGTGTGACACTCCACTACCTCTCCCCTTCCTTTTGTGCATGCATGGGCGTGTACGGGAGTTCCTGTGAGTGAGCGTTCATAAAATTTCAACGGGCAATCATGTTCATAACAGTTGGTATCGGAGCAGATCGGACCCAGACAGTGGCGAGATGATGGACCGAGGCAGCCATCACTACCTGAGAGCTTCTGACATTGGATTTCATGGTGGAATCGCATCTTCAGTACTGCCCTCAGTAGGGTGTTGGTGAGGAGCGTGTGGAGGCTGGTATGACACAGAGATTGGTGGCGATTCAGTGCTCAGTGGCCTGGGAGGCACTGAGGGGCTATTTTTAGCCCAGGCTTTGACTCTGCTAGTGGTGAGATACCTGGGGGTATGTCGAGTTTCAGATTCTGAGCTGGATTCAGTGAATCTGAGTAGTGGGGATTAATCGCCATATCAAAAGCTTCTGTATCACCAAGTTTCAAGAGATTTTGAACGTGGGAGCACTAGGAACAGTGAATGGAAGAAACTGGTGAGATGGGAGCCATAGCCAGTTCAGCTTCTTCTTCAAGTGTTTTGCCCTGAAGTGTGTTCCTTCCTCAAGTCTCTGTAGCGAGTCTGATAGTTATAATTAGACTAGAGAAATCAAAATTGGATGTTTGTAGTCAGTGAAAGTTGAAAATCGCACTGCCTGACTGCCATAGCTATTTCTCCTACCCATCTACTTTGACTTCTACTGACTCCGTTTGACCCCCTCTCTGTCTCAAATTGCATCTCTGACTGTTTTACAGTATTGCGATTCAGTACACACTGTGAATTGGATAGTTCAAGACCCATCTGTCATTGATAATGGAATTATGAGTATTGCGCTGCCATAGCCAGTGCTTGGAGCAGCTAGGGTTTGTCATATCTTAGGTTTGTCCGTCAGAATTTCAGTTTGTCATTCACCCTGAAATCGCAATTCAATATTGAGTCAGTGTCTGAAAGCACTCTACTGGGATTGATGTTTCGAGTCAGATACAGTGATATTTGTACTTCGCCTCAACCATAGTGAGGCATACAAGGTCCTACAGTGCCAATGTCAGTAGTAGGAGTCTAAAAATAGCTTCATCAGTAATTCGATGCATCTTGGTTGACTACTGAGTTGTGTTAATGCTACTTACTCTCTGCGTTATTCTAACCCTCCTACTTACAGTCCTAGGTTGCATCCTGTCTGATTCTCTGACAACGATTCTGGGGTGATTGCACTCAAATGAGGGTTTTGGGTTGCGAATGAAAAATCGCAAGTTGATTTTATCTGGGATTGCCCTGAACTGGCCCAGAAAAGCCCTTAGTGGTCTGCAAAGGTTGAGCGCTCTTCTGCCTATCACACCACGTCTCTTCTCATCAGGTGGCAGTGGCTACATCCTTGTGTGTGTGTTGTAATCTTAATTTTTGCTGACCTTGTTTCTGCGTGTCTTATTTATTTAACTGTGTGGGTGTAAGTAACGATGGCTGACGCGGAGACGAAGGTTGAGGAAGGGGAACCTTCTGCTCACCCTCCTCCACTTCCTCCCTCCCCCTTGGAACAGGCCTTGCTTGAAGCGGAGGAAAACCGCAGAAAGGCAGAGGCCCATGTCCAGCGGTTGAAAAAGGAGATGAAGGAAGCTGAGGAGGCTAGCAAGAAGGAGGAGAGGAGGAGACAGTTACGTAAAGAGGTGGAGAAAGTTGTTGTCAGTGGTACTTTCAGTCAGTATAGTAAGGATACTGCTGAGTTGGTGTTGTTAACAGACACTCTCAACATGTCTTACTTTTCTAACTGGGACCAACGGATTCTCACTGTAGAGAATCAATGCTCTGCCATCGACCGCAAGGTCGATCAGTTGACAGCAAGCCTTGATTCCCTGACAGTGAGTGTCAACAAAATTCTGCAGCATATGCAACTCCCTGTGCCTCCTCCCAACCTCTTCAACCTATCCTAAAATCTGGTTCACCATCCCACAGTCGTCCAGCTTCACCTACTGGTTCCCATGTGTCCACCTCTGTCCCTTCTGGCACATCTTATAAGCGGCAGCCCAAGCTGACGCCACCTCCTATGTACTCAGGGGAAGACCCCAAGGTGGATGTCTCAGACTGGGTTACCGCTATGCAGGCGTATCTGGGCAGCTTCATTTGTCCAGAGGTGACAAAGGTAGGGACGATTCAGGGGCGTCTGGAGAGGACTGCGCTGAAATGGTGCACATCCTTTGCAGCGAAACAAAATCTGCCCATGGACAAATGGGCACAACAGCTGAAGGTGGAGGGGTTGCTGCAGGCCCTGCAAGACCGGTTTGCAAACAGGGAACAGACCCGAAAAGCAGCAGATAAGATACTGTTGTTGGGCTTACGCAGGTTTGAGGGTTCCTTGTCCAAGCTCTACAGTCTGTTTGAGAGCTTGACCGCTACACCCGATCTGGAGATGAGTGAGTCTGACCAGCTCACTCACTTCCTACGCGCAGCGCCTCCAAAGTACTCCATTGCTCTGTACTCTCAGGGCCACAAGGACCAGAGGTCCTTTGGCAAAGCGGCCCTGGACTTGGAATCTCGGCTCAAGGTTCAGGAACCTTCTGATGGAAGGAGGCCCTCTTCCAGGGGACAGGGAAGGAAGAAGGGCGCTGATGAAGGAGCTGATTCTGATGCATCTCAGCGTGGCAATCCTCCATCTGAGACTGCATCAGTATCAGCAATTGAGCCAGCCGTTCTTGCCCTGGCTGAGAACCTTGCTGCCATGTTCAAAGGAAAGATGGGGAACAACAACAGCAAGAGCTCAGCCAGCCAAAAGGGGAAAGGGAAGGGACGTGCCCCTTCCCTCAAGCCCAGAGACCTAATTTACCACGAGACGTTCATTGGCCAGTTAACCCCATGGATCCTTCCACCCTTCCCTGGAAAGCGCTCAGGATCCAGGAGGGGCAATGGTAGAGGAGGAAGAACCGTGAGGTTTGTTTTCGTTGCGAGGGGGACCACTTTCTGAAAGACTGTCCCCATATGCCTCGCAAACCTGGTTCTAGTTCAAAAAACTAGACCAGCAGAGGGAAGTGGAGTTAGCAGCTCCCTCCACTTATGCTGATTCAGATTCTGATGAGTCTGAATCTGCATCTACCCTCACTGACATTGTTGGAGTTGCTGCGTCAGGATCCTTTACTTACATGGACCCTGACCTGGATGAGACATGGCAGGAAGATGACTGTCAGACTTTTGCTGATCTTTTCCCGTCTTTGCAGGAAAAGAACACTACATACAAACAAAGGTATCTATCGTACGTATACTCATAAGTCATTGGTCTTTCTTTTATATTATTAATTAGTAGTAGCTCCACGTAAAGTCTCTGAGGATCCTACACACCAGCTTTTCATACCTTTGAAGAACTTCCAGCCATCAAAGAACTAAATACAAACTTAGGTCTTTGAGAAAAACAGTGTATCGGTTGGGCAAGGATCTCAAGTGCCCAGAAACGGGTACAACGTTCTATAAACCTAGCAATTATCATCGATCGATCGTCGTGCCTCCGTGTTGTTAAACAGAACCATGCCGGATGGAATGGATGACTCCAAGTGAAATGAAATGTAAATGGACGGGCGCAGCATAAATCAAACCTCATCTTGCTGCGACCTTCCATCCTCGGAGCCAAGATCAAAGGCCTACTAGACTGTGGGGCCACGCGGAACTTCCTCTCTCCCAAGGCTGTACTACTAAAGTTTTTTTTTTTTTTTTTTTTTTGGTGCGGACATGTTTTTGTGTCTAGCATACGGGTCCGAGTGGTCCGGGTTCGGTCCTGTCCGGTGCCTGTCCGGATTACCGGATGTCTGGACCAGTCCAGACAATCGTCTGGGCCTCGGTCCAGACATGTCGGGGTCCGGATCCACGGTTGCCATGGAAATGTGCCCCTTGGAAGTCAAAACCCCTATCAACCCCCTTCAAAACCCATATATACCCTCCTTCCCGCACTTTCAAACCCATGTATACTACCTCTACAAGGCACTCTGCCCCATGGAACATTCAAATATAACGCCCAGGCGTTCTATTCGAATCTAATGCCCGGCCGTTCTATTCGAATATAACGCCCGGGCATTATATTCAAAGGGGCGTTCTATTTTTAAAAAAATGAGTACAAACAAAAAATCTGATCTTTTTAGGGTAAGTTGAATATAACGCCCGAGCATTATTTTCGGGTGAAGATGGTAGCGCCCAAATTCATCCGACTAGAAACGTTTCTACTCTATTTTTTTTATGTGGCCGATGGCTGGGCCAAGTACTGGTGGTTTAACGCAGGGCTGATAACCCCTTGACAATACGTGAAATGAGTGCCCCGCCGAAAAGGCAACTGCGGAGGGCTAACAAAATGCTGCTTCTAGAAGAAAGGGGGCAAAACAGGGTAATACACAGACACACACACAGGAATATGCACAAAGTCTCTCGTAGACAATCAGCAGGTAATCAGCAAAGACCTGCGGAGCGGGATGTCAAATTGGAAGAGAAGTAACATTATCGAGGTCCCACCCGTTGCCTTCCACCATTGTCCCGACAAACCCTATGAAATTGGAAGATGTAACATTATGGAGGAGGTCCCAGAATGGCGGAACCCTGTGCAGGGAAAAATCAACCCTTTTTTTTCTTTTCTTTTTTGAAGATTTTCTGTTTCTTCAACTTTTTTTTAAGTGGGGCACCTCTGTGCCCACCTGCTCTGTGTGAATCCGGGCTCATTGCTTGTTTATAAAACGCTTGTCAGCTTTCGTTTCGCACAAACCAGACTCAAAACAAAATCGGAACAAAGTTCAACAAAGTTGAACAAACTAAAAAAGGACTCTAAAAAGTTCAAAACAGACTTAAACACACTCAAAACAGGTTGTAGTAAAACAGAATCAGACAGACTCAAAATGGACCTGCAGACTCGAACGAGACTCAAAAGAGACTTCAAAACAGACTTGAACACACTCAAAACAGGTTGTAACGTTGTAAAACAGAATCAGACAGACTCAAAATGGACCTGCAGACTCAAAAGAGACTCAAAAAGAGAGACTCAAAAAGAGAGACTCAAAAGAGACTCAAACGGACTCAAACAGACTCACACGCTAAAAAAAAAAAGGCTCAAACAGACTCAAACAGTCCCGTGACGGACTCAGACAGACTCAAAACAGAACCAGACATACCCAAACGGGACGTACGGACTCAAGGAGACTGAAAACAAACTCGAACAGACTCAGGAGTCAAAACAGCAGTCCTCGCAATGCAATGTTGCGAATCGCAGAGCGTCATCATCATCACTTCACAAACAGCCTCTCTGAGTGACAAAAGTAAGCTGCACCCAGTTCTTTTTTGGGCAACTTCATCGAGCCTCTGGGAGCTGCACCCAGCGGAGTGGACCAGACTGGCCACTCAGTCTGAAAAGGGGCCGCCATGGCCAAAGGATCAATAACCACCTGACTCCACGCCTGGGGCATCTACACGGCCAAGGGGCCCGCGACCTTCTGGACAGATTTGGCTGGCCCCTGCACCCGGCCAAAGCGCCTAGGTATGTGACAAAGAGATCGAGGGAGGGAGGGAGGGAAAGAGGGAGGGAGGGAGGGAGGGAGAAGGAGTCTTACCAGGTCGAGGTAAGTGGAGGCGATCATGAAGAATTCTTCTGTCAAGGACTCAACATTCTCTCGTGCTTTCGCCCCTGGATCCTTCGCCTTTAACAACTCCGCAAGCATTTCTGTCGCATCCATCTGAACCTTCCGTGCTTCCGTGATCACCTCTGCATCATCATCATTATCATTATCATTATCATTATCATAATCATAATCATCATCATCATCATTATCATTATCATTATCATAATCATAATCATCATCATCATCATTATCATTATCATTATCATAATCATCATCATCGTCGTCATCATCAATTCACATGGCAAACCAATCATGAACAATGGCGGTTGGCGCCAGCCTTCTTCAACCTCCTGTAG